TTAAATCTTTTTGGAGTCTTCGAAAAGTCAAAAGTCAATACATTCTTTGAAAGGGTGATTCTCCACTCAATTACTAGAATAATTATCCAAAAAAATAATTTCTTTACTCAGTGACTCGAAAAATTCTCCTTTCATAGATTAATTCCACACTAATTTCTCTCCTCGCAGTGAACAGAAGCACTCTTCAGTAAATGATTAGAACCATTAGACACTCTACCGTAGTACATACAGTGCGAAGTGCATATGCATTAACTTCCTTGCTGGCGCTGCTGTTTAGTTTACAAGCTTCTTTAACCATTACATAATAACTTTTTGGACTAATTGAAGGTCATTTGGAGAATTAAGGCTCTCCAAAATACATGAATAAGATACTTCTTTACACGCGCCTTAATGCTCTAGCCAGTACTGGCAGTACTTTACCTTACTAATTTTTCTCAGTATTTTAAATACTTGTCTGTGCCCGGCCGCTGCGATCACAGCTATTTTGGCTATGTATATATATATATATATATCATGGCTTAAAGTTAAGCTCAAAGGCTTCTCGGCGTTGGCTGAACACTCACTGGTAGCTCCTTGAGCATTACTAAGTTGAATTCAGAGACAGGTAAAATAATTACAAATTTTAGTCAAACGAAGTAGTCCTAAGCTCTAATAAAATAAATTAAAAAATAGAAACAATGTATTTTTACTGGAGCCAAAGTATCAGCTTTTTCGGAAAGATAGAAGGCTTCTCTTATTATCTTTAGCTACAAAGTTTCTATAGCACCTATTAATGTTAGAAAAACGAAAGCCAAAGACCCTTTTACAGAGAATTTTGTTTCTAAGCCTACGTCAAAATAATGTTTCCTTAATGGCTCTAATTCGTGAGAGAAAGGACCCCCTAAATTTATTGCCTTAGTCGTGTTAAAGAGATGCTCTTCTAGTTAGAATTATACTGCCATTTAAAACGAAAGACTTGCTTTCAAAAAAAGGAAAATTCTTCTATAATATTAGGTGAATTTACCTAAGACTTCTTTTGATTCACAATTGGAGACAATCTTCCTTTCTGATACGAACGTAATAGGAGAGGCTGCTCTATCATTTACTATAGTTTTTTATCATATGAGCTCACGCAGTGTAATACATTCTAGCTAGTTATAATCTACTTTCGCACCCTTATTAACAGTTAAATCAAGCTCCATTGCTAAGCTGAGATTGAAAACTAAAGGCAAAGAGGTTGATCCGTAGTTGTACTGAGACTTGAAAGGTAGGCAGGATTCCTTTATTAAAAGTTTTCCCTCAGAAGGCGTTAAGAAAGTTTTATATTGAATTCTAGTCCACCAGGGTTATAACGACTACCTACAGTTTTGCCTGTAGCTTTAATGTACCCTAGTGTACCCAGAGGAATTCGGTAATCTCAATCTTTATATAGAAAGACCATTTCCACTGGAATTTGACAGCGTAAAGATTTAAATACGTAACAGTTTAAGAAAGCCATCTAATTCCTTTCATACCGTAGAGCATAAGGGGAATAGGTGTCATTATTTTTAACATCCTTAGCTAGGGCTATAGAAGAAACTCGAGCAGAAACTAAGTTAATTATAATTAATTAGATTTCGTAAGGTCTTAGACTGGTACTCAGATTGGATTGAGGATAAAGAAATCTTTGAAATTAATCACATTTTCAAAGGTTTGGCATATTAGTTGAGCTATCTACTACTCTGCCACGAGCCGTTTACGTAAAGTTTAGTAACCTACCTACTAGGCGGAGGATATTAATTTTCTACTATACATGGGGATTCAGCCACTGTACGATGCCAGCCTAGAGACAAAAGGCAATGACTTTTTACTCTAGCCAATTTTAAGAATATACTCGACTCAACGAAGGCTCCCAAGGCTTTAGCTCATGCCAATGCACGAAACATGTATATAACTACTGTTTATAGGACCACCCTACACCGCTGATGTATACTAGCCTGTGGACCTACCTAACTCTAAATTATGACCGATTAATAGCCTGGCTAAGTCGGATTAAGTACTCCATTATCACAGAGGCCAATACGATGCGTTAAAAGCTACGGTAGATTATATAATGACTCGGATGTCTTTATGGTTGCAGTGTTTTTGATGGCTGATCTGAGGACTGGTACGTAAATAACAGTATTGGTACTTTACCTCGGTATTAATGCACCAGTTGTAAAATGTTGGTTATATAAATCTTTCTTTTAGTATCTTACTAGATTGCATGTCTTGACTTTGTGAGTTGGGTAACCTGGCTACTAGTATACTTAGTTAGCGGCTACTCCTCATAAATGGTGGCATTATAGCATGGCTCTGAGTATTAAGAGGTATATGATAGAGCAACTATCTATTTTATTTTATTTTATTATAGCTTAGGTGAATTAACCAACCACTTCCCTTGATTATAAGTTAATAATATTTTACCTGACTCTGAATACAACTAAGTAAGAGATGGGAAACTTATTTTCATAGAGAGGGGACTAATAGTGATGAAAGAACAGTCCATGGCTAGCAACTTAGGCTATAACTGACTACTTTTAGTGCTTCGTAACCATTCAACAATTCATGTAGGTAATAAAATATTACAGGTTGCTTGAATTAGCTTTTCAACCTTTATCTATATCTGAACTTCCTAGGAATGAGGAATTAGAAAAAGAAAAAGAAGAGGTGAATATGATTGTCATGCTCTTGAGAACATATATTAGGGTCAGCTTGTAATACCTGGGAGAGAAACTGTTTTAACCGCTTTAAGCCCGCTCGGGTCGAAAGACTTGCTTTAAATAAATGGGAAAACAGGTGAGTCATTTGAGATCTGTGAAAGGTCCAATCTTTTAAGTTTTTATAGAATTATGGGAAAACGTGCTGGCTTTACAGTTATGGTCATACGTAATTCTGGTACTTCTAGGCATCCTAGCTGTTAGCGTGAGAGATAGTCTGATGGTATGTCGTTGATAGACTGTAGGTATTCCATTTGTTGTCTTTTTATTAAATGAGAGTGATGGAGAATCGCCATTTGACCCTCAAATGAGACACATACATCTACATTGAAGTTTTCTTAAAACCGCAGCAGACTTTTATAACTCTATTTGGGAAAATAAATTTAACACTGTTACCTGTTGGATATCTTTTAAATTTATAAAGAGACAAGGATTAATTGTTATCTTTATGGCTTAAATGTCATACGACTACTGTAAATAAAGAAAAGAATAAGTAACTGCGTTTAACAAAGTATGTGGTTACCGGTACTAGCAGGGAAACAAAATGCAAAAGATTATAGTTTGTCCACGAGCCATTAAGAAAAGAGGATAACAAACCCTGAGTTCACTCACATGTGAAGGAGTAGAGGGCACCATATGAATTCCTAACACCAGGAAAGCAGCTAGTTGGGATGGCATATCGAAGAAAGCTCTTCTCTCACTCTTAGACCTACCCAGATAAGTGGGAATCTGAGGAGGTAGTAGTACTTCCTAAATGTACTCCTCCAAGATATAGGTATTTAGTAATTACCGTCCCATCTGTTTATTGTGGTTTCTCGGTAAAAATTTGTAAAAATTATATTGCTTAGGCTACAATAATTTGTTCTTCAATTAATGTGATACCTCTTTAGCAGTATGACTTTAGGGACAAACATAATAGACACTACAAATACTACATATGCTAATGAAGCTACCAAATGTATTATACACAAACATACGCACAAACAACTTAGACAGACATAATCAAACAACACACTAATAAGAAAATAAGAAAATTACCATATTTTTATTCCATCATTTATCAATAATATTTTAATGTTTAAAATACTAGTTGCAACATAAGGACGACTTAGTGGTTACTTGAACTTAAAAAAATTTGCCGGTATATTTGTAATTTTTTTTAAGTATATATAGAAGGTCATTAGTATTAAGTGGCAGAAGATTTTTTCATTTCTAGCTTCTTTTTGCTTTTTATTTTCTTTTTACCAACTTCTTACCGACCACAAAAAAAATTAATTAAATATATACCAAATGTCATTATTAACTAATTTTTTTTTTAAGCATAACTTTAAACCGTTTGGCTGCAAACAATTTAGCCAAAAAATATTTAATTAACAGATATGTTAGTAACCCTAGATAAAGGTAAATAGTTTTATCTTTTTCTAAATATATATGTGGCTTTTTCCTTAACAAAGGCTATTTGTAGTGTTTGCGCTCCCCTTCTCCATGGTTGGCTTTATTATATTCTTTGCATTCACAATTACTTTGCGCTCATTTGATTAGTTTAGTCAATAAGGTCTAAGTGGAACGAAAAATTGAAGTTAAAAAATCAACATAATGAAAACTGTGTCTGTTTATCTCCGAACTAAAAAAAATTCGACTTAATACATCATGGCCGCGACATGCTATGGACACCCATTAGTGGTTGAGGTAAATTATCTCAAGTGATTATGGATAATAACTGACAAAGAAGTATAATATAGAGTACATGCTATACAAAGTGACAAGCATCACTGCGGGCGCTATACCTCATAGCAAGAGTAGATTTCATGAAAAACAAGGTGAATATATTTATTAGAATTTATATGCAACCATGAAAGACCGAAAATCCGCGGCCTCGAGTGTGAGAGTCAAGGCCTCTTAACCACTGAGCTATGACAACATCTCTCAACACTGGTATAATGGCTAGTACGTGCTTGACCTGTTAATCACATCCTATACTTCTTTATGGGATTACTACTCTTCCTAAATTCATCGACAAAGGTATTATATAAGCAGTTGCGAGGTCCACTAATACCCAGTAATACATTGATTGCTCAACTTTAAAGAGGTAGAAATATTGCAATCACGTGTTGTCCATATAATATCTTTAACAGACTTTGTAACTATCTGCGCCATTACTGTTGTAGCTTGGCGTTGGTCTAGAGGGTATTTAAAGATATGCAGTAGTCTACGGGAGGGTTACTAAGTAAATAGTATTTATAAAGCTTAGATAATATAAATATTTGATAAAACTTAAACAGATCAAAATAAATGATGTTTATTTATATATTTTTATCTATACTAGATTTTTATATAAGCTAAGAAGTTCATAGGAGTATTCAACACAGATTTTTCTATGTGTTCATAAAGAAAAGTGTAAACAAGCTTTATAATATGATAACGATAATAACCTATTCTTTCCTTTTCCAAGGAATCTCTTCTTTTTTTTGAGCCCCAAAATTAGATTTTCTTGAATAGTTTCATTAACCATTATAATAAGTATATAAAAATATATTATTTCGTACTTAGTATCCCACAATAAATCTTTTTTTTTCTCGTCTAAACCATAACGGCTCCGTTGCATCTCATAAGCGGATCGCAAACGTGGTTGTTGGTCTTGGGGAGAAGCAGCTATAATAATTAATGGATTATATAAAATTTTAATCTGCTTCTATAACAGTTTATGTATAAAAAATGTTTTATTGGAGTAAAAGTCGTTGTGAATTCCTAAAAGAGGCTAAATACATACAAATTAGCTAAACAAATAGTATGTTTGGTACTTTAAGTATTATAATATCGAAAGCACATGCTTTTAATAGGTAGCTTGAAATAGATTAGTAAAAGTTCATTTAGGCTACACAACAATTCTTAAACCCCCAAAGTATAATGATAACCAAACAACTATATATAAACTGGTTAAGACAGGCAATAAGAAAAAAAATTCTTATTGGACTTTTTTACCAAGGACAAAATAAAAAAAATAATCAGTTCATAAATCCTGGAAAATATGAAAAATGTATAAAAATCAGGAAACCATTGGAAGAAGGCTCACAGCTTTTTTGCTTTCGCTCAGGAAATCCGAAACCATAACTTTTCACTTATAGGATACATAAAAAAAGGAATATGAGGCAATGCAAATCAAAAATAACATGTAATAATCAGGATGACGCCTGTGTGTTGAATACAACTGATGATTCATAATAGTAAAAAGTATTATAATAATTAAAAATATAAAATATTTAAAATAAACCTTGAGTTTTTCTTTCGTTCTTAAAAATGTTTAAAAAAAAAGTGAAAAAAATTAAAGTTTTTTATACTCATTAAGAATTCATTATAAATATTTTTACTATTATAACATTAAAAGAAAATAAACACTATTATTAGTTTCTATAACTTTTATTATTCAATTATATACTTTACTTTGCTTTATATTTTATTATATTTTTATTATAATAATAAACAAAAATATTCGTGTTAATAATATTTAACTTTAATAATTATAAATATATAAATATATAATTGGTATTTCTATTACTTTAAATTTTTCATTCGTTATAATATTTTTTTAATGTGTCTGAATTAATTTTTTTTTAATTAAAGAATATTTATTTAGCTTAATTATTATTAATGTAATAATTAGTTCCATTTATCATATTATTATAGTTTACGTTTTTAATTCATTATAAATATATTAGGTTTTCAAGGTTAATTTTCATACAAATTTTATGAAAAATAATAATAATAAAATTAAACATAAAATTAAATATATTTAATTATATTTTAGTTTTAAATAAATATTAGTGATTTATTCTAGCAGTTTATTAGTTTTTAATATTATATTTATTTCAAGCATTTAATAATATTATGATAATAATAATGGTAAGTTATATATTTTAATATAGAAGTTTCTGAATTTTTGTTTTTATATACATTTTCTTATTCTTCTAATTGTTATTATATAAATTTTTAAAATTGATAAGAAAATTATCATCATTAAGATTTTAACATGCACATCATATTTATTACTTTATATTGATTTACACTTTATTACATTACAAATTTATATAAATTTTTTTTTTTATTTTTACTCCAAAATTTTTATATCCATTATATCTAAAATATTTAATATTCTCAACGATTATATGTTTATTATTACTAATTTATTTTTTTTTATTTTTTTTTAAGTATAAATTTGAAGATTTTATTTTACTTTATTTATATACAACGCTTTTGTTAACTTCTTTTATAAAGATTATCATTCAATTATACTATAATAATAAGATATTCATAATATTTTATTTTCCATCATTTTCTTTATATATACAATTTATTTTTCTTTTAAATATTTCTATTTACTTCCTATTGTTTTATTATATTTTCTATCATTAATTTTTATAGAGAATTATTTTTATATTTACTTCTTTTGACTTTTAGTACACTCCCCTTTTTTTATTTTTTATAATAAATAATATTTATATTATCAATTTATATTTCAAATAATAAATTATATTAAAACTTAATAATAATAATGATTACATCTTCTGTTTTCTTTAACATTATCATGTGATTGCTCCACTTCTCGAGAGGGCGGATTAGTACGTCCCTATAAAAAAATTCAATCAATAAAAAGTATGAAAAATAATAAAGATCAATAAGAATGAGCTATATAGAATCGTAAAAAAAAGGCAAACGCTAAAATAAATATAAAACTAATAAATAGAAGCTCATAACACAACAAAATAATACGTAATAATTATAATTTATAATAAAAGTAAATAAGGTGATAAAAACAAAAAAAATATTACAATAATTAGAATAAAGATATAGACTGACACGGGGCCCGGCGGTTTCCCATTTTCCCTCGTTAGCGCTTTGCTCACGTGCTTTAGCTTCTTCCTCCAATCGTTTTTGTTCTTCTTCCAGGCGGGCTTTTGCTTCTCTAGCTTGGCGCTCTTTTTCAAGTGCCTCTTCGCGCTTCTTTCTTGCTTCTTTTTCTTCTTTTTCTTTCCGCTTTTGAGCGGCTAAACGCTCTTCTTCTTCTCGCTTCTGTTGCAGTCGTTGTTCCTTTGAATATAAAAATAGTAGTTTTTTCATTAATAATATTAATAAAGTTTTTATTAACAAGACATTAAAGGTAATGAGTTTTAGAAAATAAACATGAGTAAAAATAAATATAGAATATAATAGTATTAAGTTTTAACATTCAAATAAAATTATTATTAATAATAATATAAACAAACGCGTTTTTCTAGTAGGACTTTCTGAATGCGAGGTTTAAAGTTCTGCTGTAACTTTTCTAAGTAAAGTTGTTCCTCTTTCACTTTTCTACTGTTCAAAATTTGGTCTTTAGCTTCAAGCATTTTAGTAATATTCGCTTTAATAAGAAGAGCCTGACAATATCATGGTATATACCAATAATAAAAAAACCCTTAAAATATAACAAATACATAAAATTATATAAAAAATTCTGATAATATTAAGGAGAAATAATAGTAAAAAAAAACATTGAGATTATAAAAGATAAATATTAATTAAGAAAAACTTTAATAATAAAATTAATTAAAAAAATAAATAAAAAATGAAGTACATAAAATATTAAATAATAAAAAAAACTTTTACAGTTATAATATATATAATACAAATTCAAATTATTATTATAATATTATGGATAAACACAAAAGCAATAAAAATGTATTATTAAAAATTATATATATATATATATATGAAAAATGATATAAATAATATTAAAAAAAAAGTTAATATAAATAAAAACTTTTAATATATTAAATAATAATATATAATCATAATAAACAGTAAAATAATAGACCAAAATAAGAGAAAATAGTATAAACTAAATAATAACAGAAATATAATAAATATAGTACATAATGACGGCAATTGAAAAAAATGATTAAATATACAATAAAAAATAATAAGAACTTTTTCGCGCAGCAAAATAAATAAAATAGAATATATTAAATATTTTATAAATATATAAAACTTTCTAAAAATAATTAATAAATTAAATATAGAAATATTAAATACAAAATAATAAATTTTCGAGCCACAAAATTGATAAATAAAAATAAAAATATAAAAAATAATGAATAATTAAAACTTCAAAAATAAAAGAAAATTAATTATAATAGAACAAAAACTTTTTCGTGCTGCAAACGTTCTCTTTCCACTCTCAATAAAAACTGCTCCTTTAAGTATTTTTTATCTTCAGTAACTTTTTTCGTTCTTTCCGCGATCATTTTGGGGATCATTATTAAACGTTTAGCCCTATAAAAAATAATGGAATATAAATATCCATAAATAATAATAAATATAAAAACATTAAATTTTAAGGGTCACGCGGTTATAACGTTAATTTAATGACAATTTGAAAAATTCACTAAAAAAAAGGCAATGCATAAACAAACCAATGAGAACTGAAAGCAGACACCCGGCAAAAAGCGGAGTGCGCTTTTAAAGAAACCTTAAAAAAAAATAATTACCTTAAACAATAATTATTACCGTCAGTTTATAAAACTGTGGTAGCAATTACAGAGAACCAAATGAAAAAAGATAAACAAATAACGCTAAAAAAAAAAGCTGATTAAATAGCATGTCTTTCCACTTTATACTGTGACACACGAAAAAAGGCACTGCCCAATCAATGAACCTCTTTAATAACACACGTGCCATTGGATGTGTTTAAAAATATAGATAATATTTATAGTGATAAATTAATGATGAAGCCTTTCAAAATGATCTAAACGTCTTTCCGCTCGACTTATTTTAAGTTCGTGTTCTTTTGTAAGTTTTTCGAGTTTCTTCTGTTCCTCTTGAACTTTTAAGATTCTTTCAAGTTCAAGTTTTTCCAAAAGTTTTAGACGTTCTAATAATAATGATAATAACAATAATAATTAGTAATTATAATAATTATCGCCTTCTTCTTCCTTTTGAGCTTTTAATTCTGATATTCGTTGTAGTTCTTTCTGATGTTCTTCAGCAAGTTGCCTTTCTTTCAGCTGCTGAGAGTACTAATAATAATAGTTATAGTAATAATAATAATAATAGTAATAATAATAATGACTCGATCGCTCTGGTTATATTCTGCTTCTACAAGGGAACGTCGAAGTTCAATTTCATTTTTTCTAGCGAGAAGTTTTTCTCTTTCAACTATAAAAATAATAATTATAAATAATATAATAATACATTATGATACTAGTAAGTTGAATAATAAACAAAGAAAGCAATTGAAAAAATATTAATATAATAATGCACATAGCAATAACAGCAAATGAGTATATATATAATGATAATAAATAGTAAAACATATTATAATCATAATTAAAATAATAGCGATAATAAATAAAAGTGAGAGACGAGGTGAGAAGTTATAAAAACAAACTAAAGATAATTGTTTCAAGTTTTATTTAAAAAAAATAGTAGAAAAACTAATAGATAATATAACGACTTATAAACTGAATAATATTAAGATGTATTCTAACAAAATGATAAATACATGACCAATCAAATTAATAATATAACGAAAAGTAAAAGATCTATCCCAGCTAAATAGTTTGATTATTACTACTTTATTAGGTCTTAAAATAATTAACAAAATATAAAGATAATAGTTATAATGGTAAAATAATATACTTTTTAATTTTTTTTATAATATAATTAAAATACAACAATTTGCCTTTCTTAATATATTAATAAGCGGTGTTATACCAAAAAAATAAATAAGCGACCAAGCAAACTAATAAAGCAAAAAAAGAAGTTTTTGCATTTTATTCGTCTATAACAATGCACTATGACAAACCTTCCACATAATTGCTTTGAAAAGTAAACGTCGCTATTTTCTTTGCTTTTACTGAAGCTTCAATGGAGGGATCAATGACTTGACACGCATCATAAAGTTTCCGGCAAAGTTGAGTCAATAAAGTTTGCATGGTAGAAGATTGCTATATAGAGTTTTATTTTAATACTAGTACTGAAAGTAAAAAAATTTCATATAAATGTTTATTATTATTATGAAAACCATAATTTGCTTGTGAAGAGGCTCCACTTCAGAAGAATAAAACAAATCCGCTCCGAAGGAAACAGTTTGCGTGCGATGATTAATTCGCGCTTGCAGGATTCGCTCTTTTACGCTTTTAAGAATAATATCATGAAGTTCTCCTATGGCCAATCAAATAATATCATATAATATATTTACCAATCATAACATAATTATATAATAAGCTGCGATTAATAAAAAAAATACATCCTTAAACAACCAATTAAAAAAAAGACATAATACGCACCACCTAAACTAACCCATCATTTACTTAAAAAGTCTATCCAAATAACCAAGCATAAAAAATAAAACTTCCATACTTTGAGAGCAAAAAGGAATAACTTCTTGCAAACTGGAAATGGTAATGGTCTCATAAACTTTAGCCAATTGTTGCAAAGCACGAGTGGCTGCCGTTCTTTTCATAGGTTCTGCGTACCTTATAACCACCAAAGTAATTATAAAGAACGGCCTAAAATAACATAAATAAACACATGCGATAGTGCTCGTTATTTTGGATCGAATCAAAAAGACTAGAAACTCGCTGGCACAAATCCAGCGGATGGAAATCGAGTTCCAGCCAATTATAAAGGGGCTGCAGACTAGAATCAGCTAGTCGAATGGTGTCTTTAATATTGAGTTCTTTTAAGAGGAGCTCCTTCGAGGAGGTCGTCGAAAGACCTGCAAAGTAGTTTCTTAAAAAAGTTTTCTTTTTTTTTTATTTAACAAACTATTCTAATTGATTAGTACAGCACCGAGTAAGTAAGTTAAGCGACGAGCACACTTTTCTTGCTCTTCGTCAACTTCTAAATAATCCATTTTGGGCAAGCTAGGAGGGACTATTAGCGCAGCAAGAAGAGCTATAATGATGATAATATAATAATAATAATAATAATAATAATAATAATAATAATAATAATAATAATAATAAAATAATAAAATGCCTCGAGTTGCTAAAACTTCGCATTCCTTATTTGAAAGATTTTTCTTCTGTTCTTTAGTAAGACAAAACAACTTGTGGAGTGCGTAAGCGTGAAACTATTAAATAATATTAATAATAACAATTCAATGATGATAAGAATGATAACAACCAAAAAGTTGTTGGACTGCCAAAGAATCATTGCAAGTTTTTCATAATAACGAGCCAATAAGGAAGCGTGAGGAGGACGAGTTGAAGCCGCCATGAGGGTCTTAATATCCTCCAATGAGCGAAAACCTTCTTGCCAAAGCTCCAATGAAGTAGCGACATCCAACTGTAAAAAACGGGTTTCCATGTTGATATGAAGTGCTCTAAATTATAAGAATAAGCAGTAAACAAATAATGATAATAATAACAAAACTCTGGAGAAGTCAAGTTGATAGCCGCTTGTGGATTGGCGAATTTCTGGCCAGTCGTTCGATTCCGAAGAAGCTCGGCCAACCGTCGGTACTCAGATTTTCGATTATAAGTTTTGCAAAAGGAAAAAGCACGACGGGCCATTTCTTGGTACTTTTATTATTAATAAATGATTATTATTACTATAAATAATAATAACAAACACAACTTGAAACTCCAATTTGGGCAAAACTCTCAAGATTTCCAGTACAGTACGATAAGCTTCCCACAGAAAACGAATCCACGGAGTTAAAAGTTCGCCTGCATCACAATAGTTATGTATAAATCATAATAAATAATAACTAAACACCTTCAGTTCTGGATTGCACATTTTCTCCGCTTACTGTCGACAATATTAAATTTTCTGGAGTTTCATAATTTTCAAAATCTTCAACAACTAATAAATAAATAAAAATAGTACATATAAACTAAAGAAAAAATAATTATAATTAAGAAACAATACTTATACTTATTTTTTAAAATTTATAAAATAATTTATTTTATTTGTATAAATAATAAAAATATTAATATTAATTTTATTATAAAAAGTAAAAATAAAATCTAATCCAGATTATAATAATAAAACACATCGAAAAATTTTGAACAAGTATAATAACATTTATTTTAAAAAATTTAAAAAAGTGGGAAACTATAAGATATTGTTCATTAATATAAAATTATATATAATACTAATATAACTTATAAATAATAATAGATTATAACAATGATAAAAAGGAAAAAATTCAAAAAAAGCAAATGATAGCATTTATTACTAAAAGTAAAGAAAAATTAATTATTTAAAAAGTAATAATAAATTTATAATTAAAAATTATTCGCAGTATAATATATTGTAATAAAAAATAATAAAAAGCAATAAAAATTAATAACAAACGAATTTTTTATAAATAATTTATTATTATATAATACGAATGAATATTAAAAAAATAAGTATAATAAGACTTATTATAAAAGATATAATAAATCATAACTTAAATATACTAATAAAAAGTAAAATAAATACTTATTATGAAAAGTAAAAATTTATTATCTGCATGTAAAAAGCAAATTTATAATTACATCAGGAAAATATATAATAATTTATTATTACAAATTGCTGATAAAAAGGTAAATTTATTACCATAAATATTTTTTTTAATAAATATTATAACTTATTACAATTTAAAAAATTAGTAAAGCATAATATCAAGAAAAAAAATTTATATAATAATAAAAATTAATTAAAATTTACTATATTATTATAATAAATAATAATAAAAAGTAAAACAAGTATTACTATTATAATAATATAAAATATAAAGTAAAAATAGGAGATATATTAATATGATAATTATTATAATAGTAAAAATAAATTTGTAAAATTTATATATAAAAAAATGCGAAGAATTTAATTAAAAAAAAATATTAAAAATATTGTAAGTAAAATTAATTTATCAAAATAAAGTTCGAAAAGTAAAATAATGTAATAAAATTATTTAATATAAAATAATATAAGCACAAAAAAAAAGTAAACTAATTAATTTTAAAAAAAAAGTATTATGAAAAGTAAGTATAAATACTTATACTTTACTGATTTATTAAAAAAATTAACATAAAAGTAAAATAATATTTACTATTAATTTTTTTTATAATAAAATACTATTAAAGTAAAAATAATATACTATTTGATAAATAATGATAATAAAAATTATTAATAACTGATCTTATAATTTCTTCTATAGTTTATAAGTTTTACATAAATTTTAATACCATCTACAATCCATTATTAATCTAATATAATTGACTTTCAAGTATAAATCGGTAAAATATAATAAATAAATAATAACTTTCAAATAGAAAATATGTATTTAAATTTATAAATAATAAAAAGTTTATAAAAAACTACAAGTTCAATAATAATTTTTTATTATATTTAATAAATTAAGTATTAAATATAATTCATATAAATAATAAATAAACGTATTATAATATTATAATAATTAACTATAATTTTAAAAAGTTAATATAATTTATGTGAAAACTACAAAACAGTAAAATTTAATAAAAACTTTAAATTTTAAAATAAGTTTATAAAAAAAATTTTTACCAACTTTACTATGAAACTTTCTTTTTAATATATAGTTGAGATGGTAAAAAAAAGGTAATAAAACTAAATAATCTGAATAATATAAGTTACTTATCAATTATTAACGCTGTCAAGAACTATTTTTTCTAAAAAAATATATATTATCCCTTACAGAAACTATTAAAATTAAGTAACTATATAAGAATAAACTTTACTAAAAATTAGTCAGAAGGAGATAATTTAATAATTTTTGATTAAAATTTCTTAATTTCGAACAAACTTACATAATAACAATAAGAAATAATATACCGATTTTAAAAGGCTCACTATACATAAAAAATTCTATAAATATAAATTTATGAGAATATTTAATTTATAATAAAACATAAAAAATACTATTTTATCTAATGAAAATATATAACATTTATATAATAAACAAATAAAAATCTGCAAAAGTTTGCCAAAAATATTGCATATATTAAAAATAATAATAAAGATTTACGACATACATAATAAAAAATAATAGAATACTATATATAATTATATTAAATGATAACATGAACGAATTAAAAAAAATTAAAAAAGGAAAATAATAAATAAAAAATAATACAGAATAAAGGAATTCAACAGTACGAAACAAATAATTAAAACAATAACATAATTAGAATTATTAATATAAAATAAATAAACTAAAACAAAAATCTATTTTTATAATCCTAAAAAATTAAAAAAAAACAAAAATTTATTAAAAAATTTACTGTCAGTCTCCAGGACAGCGACCTCAGACAATCCGAGTGCAATCGCCAAGTCGCGTTTGGCTTGTTCTGTTCGGGCTTCAGCTTGACTAACAAAATAAATCATAATCTTCTCTAAACTTTGCAAGTTCGCCTGTTGGCAAACATTTTTAAATTGGTGTAGGCCATCTTTAGCAATTTTGGTTTTCCTTTTTTCAGTACCTTATAAAGAACAATTTATTAAATTATTATATAGAAAAAAAGAAAGTTAAAACTTACAAAGATCCAAAAAAAGTGAAATAATTTCTTCAAAAGTAGGAGACCACTGTCGATTACGTTTATTAGTAATAACCTCGTACAAGCCTTCAAGCGCGGATGACTTTTTATCAACTTCGATAAGCTCTAGTGTAATTAAAAATTTATTAAATATAAAATTTGTAAAACTGCCACTAAGACTTAAAATTCTTAACTACATAGCGAAAAAAAGTTAAAAAGAAGAAATAAGTCATAAATAAGATTACTAACTTTACCTCTTGCCCTTTTTAAGGCGTATTCTGGTTTCGAAAAGTAACCCATACTTGCTGATTCAATCCTTGGTTTACAATAAAGTAAAAAAGGTTATATTAACAAAAAATTAAAGATACTCTGTAACTGTAGAATACTAACCTTTTTACGTAAACTATAAAAGTTTTTTATAGAACCAGCACAAAAAAGTTGAAAAACTATTAACCAGATGCCCTACAGAGAAGTTTAGCCACCTGATAAGCACGTGCAGAAACGTTCGATTCGGTATAATCCGAATTGTTAACGTTGAGAGATAAGGAAGGATTTCTTCTATCTCTGTCACGATAATATTCTGTATACTGTACTGCATGCAAGAGGTGCAAGAGATATTATATTGCTTTAATTTTATAAATTAAGAACTAAAGCGACTGCCTAACAATTTTAATTATGCTTTTGTCAATTATGATCAGGAAAAGAAAGGAAATTTTTTACCACGGTAATTAGGCCCAATTATACAATTTCATTTGCACGGAAAAAACGGCGTTCTTGGACGTTCCCGTCTAAACCCAGAATTTAACGTGATTTGCGCTTGTTCCTGAGTGGCAACGAGGCGCAGGCCAAGACCGCCTTATTACAAAATACCTTGCGATTGAAAATAGCGCTATTAGAATTAACAATTTTCAAAATATTTCTTGCGAACATACTGAAAAGAAAAAAAGATTAATTATAAACCTTCTGCGTACCAAAAAGGTGTGTTCCTGATAGTGTATTAACCACATTCTTAAACATCTTACAGATACAGTTATAACAACCTCAATTTACTCATTATTAATCATTTTATGAGTCCTGTACATTTTCTGAACGATGGAAAAGAGCAACAGTCTTGTGTATCCCTTAATTAATGTGTTTTTCTTCAACTTATTAAGCCAACCGTACTGTAAAGAGTACTGGTTGCACACCAGTGTTTCAGTTTGGATGCCAAGGGGTCACTCTATTCCGCAGCAGCTTTTGCGTTATTCTGAACTCGTCTCGAAAGGGTTAATAACAATAAGTCTTCATGTGCACTATTTTTAGGTATCAAAAAAGCATTTGAGAGGGTATGGCAAGCTGGGCTGTTAACGAACCTATCTATCCTTAAAATACCAAGTTACCTCCTTTTCTTCTACAGTTTTTTCTGCACCGAGGGAAATTTATGTCAAAGTGGGAAAAGCTAGCTCATCTTTTAAAGAACTGGCAGTTCTACAAGGCTTACTACTAGATCCCATCTTATTTGCATTATACATTTTGGCCATACCCCGACCTATAAAAACCTCCACTTTTTTTTGTCACAGTTTACGGATATACGACCCTCAATGCCTGCTTGAAATCTCGTTCTCTAGTTTTAAAAACACTGCAAACCTATGTTTCTGCACTTGAGATAGGGTCTGATCAGCGGCGAAGACTATTTAATTCTTTTAAGAACTAAGCTATTTGTAACGAAGAGGAATCGTTCAACGAAAGCATCTATTTTAACGCTTTGCGACCAAGCATCCCCCCGGCACACGGAAGTAAGTACTTTATTGCCTAGATCGACAAGCAATTCTTGTGGCGCTATAAATTAACTACCTCATCTACAACTCGTAGTTAGCTATTAAAAAACTTGATCTTCCCTTGTGTAAATACAATTTTTTCTCAATAAAGAACGAACTTAAGTAGTAATATTAACAATAAAGAAAAAGACACTATAGATCTCGTATATAATATAAACATTTCCCGGTAAGCAAAATAGAACTATTTGAAGACGGTTTTATTTGGTATTTGCAGTCTAAGTAATCTGGAGTTATTATTAATCACAAGTTCAAGTGGGATGCTCACTTAAAATAGAGAATTTATAACTATGGAATAGTTCTATAACCCCTACTTTGCAAAAAGAGTGAATTAATTTCTAATAATAAGCTGCTTCTTTATACATGCATGTTAAAATCTACACCTACATATGTCACTTTCACTTGCATCTACTATTCTACATGACTTAAAGCTATAAATACTACAATTTTTTTTAACGTATCGACGCCATGTGGTATAGAAACTTGCCTCTGCACTTGAACTATGATTAAATTATGGCACTAATAGAATACAATGCAAAGCGCTCACTCCATCGAGATATTCAATACATTAATAACCTACGACTTTTTGTGGAATACCAAATGTAGAAGACTTAGGCACCTTTTTACATTAAATAATGCTCATAAACTGAATACTAGAAGTTTATTAATAAAAAGAAATGGTAATTTCATTAACTAATTAAAAATATGATGATTCTACAATTATATAAATGAACTGCAACTAACGTGCGCTTCATACTATATAACCATAAAAGATTACTTTTCCTTCTGGGTTCTATTATTCAACCCTTTTAAGCAGTATAAAGTGCATATATTCTAGACTATAGCACTCCAACTTTACAAATAAATATACAATAAAGCATCTTAGCTTCCGCATCTTAGCTTCCTTTATTTTCGATTCTCCCCTCCTCATTTTACTTTCATCTTTATTTTCAGTTATAAAGATATATAAAGCTTATTTTATCATATTATTTTAACCTCAAGCTAGGAGATCTTTTACTAAAGTGTCAATTCCTAACACTGCTTAAATTTACTTTTTAAAAAGAAGATGCCCTTGCAGACGGTGCCAAGTTCAACTGATTTCCTCCAAGAAGCTCTCCGACGTGACCAGCATTGCCATGTTGGCTACCCTACAAAAAAACCCTTTGGGCTTGGGGGTTATTAAACAACTACAAGGGTACGAAAACTAGCATTAATTTTTCAATGTTTTCTCTCGCCACGTTAACATTTTGCTTCTTGACTGCTTGTTATGCTGGTTATAAAGGTTTGAACTTTTTGCCTTTTGTTTAAACATAAACTTACAATACCAAGAAAATATACTTAGGCAAGAGTCCTGGTCAAAACACAAAGACACGACGGAGTTTTCTAGTGAAGTAATATTTATAAAAAGAAAACCTTGCATAGTTCCTTAGACATATTATTCAACTTTTTAATTAGTATTGGTCGGTTTATGGTTTTTAACAGAATTTAGGGCTCCATTACTTCTTTCTATACGACCTTGATGAAAACAAAAAGTTAGATGGTAAATGCCTCTTTATTTTTTTTTGGGCAGAAACAAGAAGCTTTTTTAAAGAGTCCTTACGTAAATTATTTCCTTGTAATAACTTAAATATATTTTTAAAGGTCTCTATTATAAATTATATAATGACACTGACCGAAATTGTTTTAGGTAACGAACTGATACTACTCTTAGAGGAAAAAGCTGATTTAGCTAAAAGAGATGATGACTATATGATTTCTTATGTTGAAGGGATTCTAGATCAAGTTGATAAGAATGGGGATGGCTACATAGACTTGGAAGAATATACAACTTATAATAATAAACTCGGAAGTTCTTCCGCAACATTCGATGCGCTTTTTCGAAAAAATAAAAAAGTTATAAACTATTTTTTAAAGGTCCTAATAACGCTCTTTTCTATTAGTTTTAGACGGGGACTAGTGTATTTGAGATAAAAAGTTCTTATTAAGTTTTTCGTATATTGAGAGCTTTGCCCAAAACTCGAACTCGAAATGTCTAAACCTTTTTAATATTTAAAGCCTGTACTCCGTGAAGGTCTTTAGGACCCCCTTAAAAGTTTTGTTCCTTTTAAGTACGTACTTCTACTTAAGTCATCCACACAAGCATACTCACTAGCCTTTTACTTAAAATAAAGCACGATTTTGAGAACCTTTTTGAGGCCGCTTTATACATATGGAAAACGTAGTTTATTATAATATTATAAACTTTATACTAAAAAATTTATTTTCTTTACTGCTGGAGTACTAAACAAGGACAGTCAATTTAGGATATATTTAGAATTTTTTAAAAAAAACAATGGTTTGAGTTGTGTTTTAATTATCAACACTAATAATCCGTTAAACGTAACGGTGTTTAGTATGTGTTGGATTGAAATTAACTGTTTGTATTTATATCCCTTAACCTCAGTTAATTAAATTTTATAAAAAAAAGTTCAATTTTTAGTCTTATGTATTGTAGGGTTGATACTACGGGTAAAGAGGTTCAAACAAAGCCTAACTTCCCGATTATGAAGGTATATGGGTGGTAACCTTTTTTAATAAAAATAATAAAAATACTTAAATTTTGAATACTTGTACTACGCTTAAGTTAATCAAAGAAAATTCCTGATAGTTTTTAGAGTTAGCACTTGCTTGCTCACTTGCAGCCAAGGCCAAAGGGGACCTCCACAGCAGCCGTTAACCAAAAAAATTAATAGCCAGGAAAACCCCTACTGTTCTCAAGTAAAGCCCCCCCAATCAAAGTTCTTAACTTTTTCGCGCCAATTTTAATATCTTTTTTTCGCGCTTTTAGTGATTCATACAAAAAGCTGACTCTTATTATCACCCCAAATCGGGTTTACCGCCCAAAAAGTTTTGTAAAATTAAGATTGGCCGTGTCCCAGAAAAAGAGTTAAAGTGGGGACTGAATGACAAGCAAAACCACCTTATTAACACTCGACCTTTATAGTAACTCGTTGGTTGCCTAGTAAATTTTATCGGTTTTCCCGTTTCTTTTCCTTCTATTTATTTGGGATTGTTTTGTACTAAATAATTCAAGCGTTGACACTATATCTCGGGTTTTTAGTAATTTTTAAAATATTTTATTTTGAAGGTCGTTCTTATCCAAAAGGACAGCCTTCTCTTTTATAAACTTTTTACAATGCTGCACTAACTAATGCCGTTGTATATTTAGTAACTTTTTTTTTTTAAACTGGTAATTCTTAAGATCACCTGTGAATTTTAAATATACTTCGTGGTTGTAAATATACTGTCATGATGTCTTCAAATTATGTAAAAATTGAAAAAATAGGTCAGGGAACTTATGGGGTCGTCTATAAGGTGTTCAATAGTGCTTTGGTACAAATAAATTAATTTAGTAAATTTATT